AGTCATCAAACAGAGGAAGAAATCACTCTCGAAATAGCGCTGAATTGCAATAAAATGCGAGGAAGTCTTCGGACTTCCTTCGCTTGCATTTTGATCACGCCACTTTAGAAATAACCAATGATTTTATTTGGTCATGCCACCGCGCGATCCTCCTCCGATAATCGTTCAGAACCGGAGGCGTTAAAAGCCACCGCCTAGAAGCGGCGGACAGTCACAAATCAGTTATCAAATAATTAACAAGTGCTCGAGTTAATTAACAAGACTAGCCGTTATCCTGAAAAAACAATTGTGCCCCACGCACACAACAATACAGTATGTATGTACTTTTTCGATTTTTAAAACTTTTATAGTTTTTTGCTTTTACTTACACTTCATTCAAAATTGCGGTTTATCTGTTTTGTTTTAATGTATTTAAATTATAATTAATATTTTATTACTTTATTTAAGTTATGTGATAAAACTGTTCTATTTTTCATGAAACTCGGAAAACGTAACAAATTATTAATACGCATTAAATAATAAAATATTTTTGTTGCTAATAAGTATTTTTTTGCTAATATTTATAAAACAAATATACATAATGTTAATAATTTTTTTAGATAATGTTTAATCCAAGAAATGTAGCAGTACTGCTATACACTGCACTGTATATGACTGGGGAATTCCCAGAAAGTCCTGTTACAACAGATGAAAATGAAACAAAAGACATGATGGAAAATATGCTTCGATCAATGTATGAAGAAGCGTTTGAAGTTTATGAAGAATCATCATTAGATTTTCAAAACGAATTTGATATACCTGAAGTAGAACCTGTAATTGATGAAGAAAGAGAAGAAGACACATATTTTGTAAAAGAAATTGAATGTGTTGCGGATTCTGTACCAATAGAATATAAAAGAAATGCAGTAGAGTTATGGAGAAGTGGAACAAAAAAGTCAAGAACTCTTGCATCTATAAGAAATAGATTTCGGAAAGTCACGTCATTACGTCAATTAAGAAGATGGGAGCAGCAAGTAAATCAAGGTGGCAACAGATTTGATAAACTGAAAGAAATTTCAACATATACGTTAAATAAATTCCATGAAGGTATTGAAAAGGGAATAATTATTCATGACATTGATATTGCTCGATGGGCTCTTCGCGCACAGAAGGAAGTAAATCTACTTGGGTTTACAGCATCATTATCATGGGTAAAAAGGTTTAAGCTTGCACATAATATCGTATCTAGAAAAATTACAAAATTTATAACAAAAAAAAATTTAGCGTCAGACAAAGATTTAGAAGCACGAAGCAAGTCATTTATCGAAAATGTTAAATCTTCTATTATACAATATGGAATTGAAAATGTATATAATTCGGACCAAAGTGGATTTCAATTAGAATTTCATTCCGGTCGTTCACTATCACCTATTGGTATTAAAAAAGTAGAGCGCATAGTACAATCCATATCAGCAACTACACATAGTTATACTATACAACCTATTGTTTCAGCTGATGGTAGATTATTATCGCCTCTGTTTATTGTTTTAAAAGAACCTACTGGAACATTTGGTCCAATAGTAAAAGAAACAATGTTTAAAGATAATAATATCTTTGTCATGGCATCAAAATCTGGAAAATTAACATCGCATCATTTTGAGATCTGGATAAAAGAAGTGTTTTTTCCAAATGTTGGACCAAAATCAGTTATTATTAGATTCTTGGACTGGTCATTGTCCTGATATAATTCAAAGAAACAAACCAGATTTTATAGACAATATTAATTTGTTAACTATACCAGCTGGAGCAACGGGAAAAATACAACCTTTAGATGTATTCGGTTTTCGTTTATGGAAAAATTTTGTTAGACATTTTTCAGATACCATCATGCTTTTAGATCTTGACGTCAAGCTTCATTCAAGAAACAATATTTTAAAATTACAATCATTAACACATAATCAATTTTCATCACCAAGGTTTAAAAATTTATTCAAATATGCATGGTATAAAAGTGGTTATTTAGAAAAGAAACCAGAAGAATTTGATACACCAGTAGATTTTTGTTTCAAAACTAATTTAAAACCAACATGTGATATTTGCGGTGAAATTGCTGTAATTTCTTGCGCATGGTGTAAAAAATCCCTTTGTATAAATCATTTCTTTCATGATCATCATCTTTGTAACCGATATCAACCATGAATATTTGTTATTCTTGTATGCAATAATTATGTACGGTATTTTATGTAATATTTCCATATACATATATATAATGACTTCGGAATACAACTTTATTATATATGATTGAATTTGTCGTTAAATGAGCTATAAGTTTTGTTATGAGACAAATTTAAAAATTTTCAAACATTAAAAGGGAGGGGGGGGATTTCGAAAAATATGACATTTTCGACAAATCTGATTACATGATTTTGAAGTACATTAAAGACCATAAAACTTTTATTTGAAACTTTTGTTTATATCTCTTATCGCTTCGACGGTATCCGCTGAGAAATGAAAAAATCGATTTTTTTCAAGAAGGTGTTTCACCCCCTTAACGGCCGACTCAGCACTTATAAAAAAATACGTGTCTCCTATTTTGATCTAGACTACAACATATTCAAAGCTCATTAAAATCGGAGGGGGACACTTCCGACCCTTTCCTTGTTAGTTCATCATCCCACATAATAAATTCCTAAGTAATTATTTATCTCTTCATAATTAGCACGCTTGAAGTTAAACCTCCATTCAGAGAGCGATGAAAAGGACAATGGTCCCGTTGACAACGGCAAAGAGATTGTGATGGCAGGATGGTAATGATCACAGGTACATATTGACTCCGATATCGGATGAACCGAGACATTCCGCAAATAAGAAAAGACAAGATCGAGTATATTACGATTTATGTTGACAATATTATTATATTGGCGAAGATTGAATTCATTAAAAAAATGTAATATTGTATTTGCCTGTTCTGTCATATGATAATGATTAGAACGATTATCACCATTGTTAGATCAAAACGCATTAGGCAGATTATAATCGCCAATTAATAAAATATCTGCATTAGACGATTTTACTTCCTCAACCGAAAGACAGTGTGTTCGTTTCACCCGCATCGATGAGTGATTTCAGTTGAGATTGTAATTCATGTAGATGTTTCCTCTGTTTTAACGTTTGGTCTTGTGAGATTTTTATAGGGCCAGCATAACGGTACTTATTCCGAAGTATAAACAAAGCTTCTTGTTTTTAAGGAAGAGAAACACGCAACGGTCTAGAGTGACCTAGGCGCTTTTGGCCTAATCTTAAAATTTTATTTATCTGAGGAGTTTTCCCTGAATTAATCTTCCGAATAATCTCACTAGCAAGATCAACGTCGTTACAGCCCCCGTCCTCAGCTTCATCCATATTGTAAAAGATTAGGTTTGCTGCCCTTCTCTCTCTATCCTCCAGCTCTTCAATGATGTCCTCCTCCAAAAAATGATGATGCCTGAGGCTGCGACTTATTCAAGAGGTTTTCGAGTTGCTCCACTCTATTGCACAATCCCTGGATATCGTTATTCAATTTATCAATTTCAGCCCGATACAATTCTCTCATCTCCCTGCGGAAGTCTTTGAATTCAGCATGCAATAAATCTTTCATTGCATCGAGAAGAGTGGAGTTCATATCTATCTGTTGCGACGCGCGGGATGTCGAAGCAATCCCGAGCAATCTCCAAATTGACCATTAAAATGAGGGTGTCCAGTGCGGGAGAAGCATGCAGGATGAGATGCAATACCGCAGGTTTTGCAGCTAATTGATTTTATAACGATTGTACCACAGCCCTTACACGTTTTTCTACCATTCATGATCGATAGAAATAAAATTAAATCGAGAAACGTACGAGACTAGAGCAGAGAATAAATACGTCTGTCCTTCGTCGCTGTAAATACTGTACTATGTATATTAATTATAATATAATATAATTGTAAAAGTATAATTATCTTATAACATTTTAATAGATTATTCTTCTTTAAAGTTAATTATAATTAGAAATTTATTTTTAGTTAAGCAAATGTTTTATATATTTAATTTTGAAAAATCTGAGTGCCTTTAAATATTCTATAATTTATAATTTATATTATTTATTATATTTATAATTATCTATAATTTATATTCTATAATTTATTGTCATGTTGAATATTATGTAGTCACTTTATCCAACTAGATATATTAAAAGATGCATTTCGAGAAGAATCGATTTTAATATATCTTACAATTAGACTTGTTCATATAATATTCTACTCTTTTTCCGTGTTTTTATTGACTAAAACCAATTTGAAACTATCTATATAACTTTTATATTTAGATCTCATTATTAAAATTAGTATTTTAATACGTGATTACTTTAATTAAATATAATTTACTTATTATATTAACGATGATTTTTTTTAAATTCTTTATATAAACAATTTTTTAAATCATTTTTACCTTTTATTTCGTACTAATATATTTTTTATTTTTTGTATTAAATTATTTTGTAGTAATATATACTTACGTCATTTAACATGATTTTAACTGCTTCTTCGGTATGTCCAGATATAACTACAAGCTTAGGTAAATTATTATTTGTTTCATTAACTTTAATTTTCGGATTTGATTTCAATAATATATGGGAATTAGCACCACCAAATCCGAAAGAATTAATACCGATGTAGCCACCCTTCCATTCTGTCGGTTCAGAAACTATTTTTACTCTTCCTTCAATGATAGCAGTCATATTCTTTCGTGGATGTTTAGTAAAAAATGTATAGTAGGAGGAATTATATTAGTTTCCATTGCTATTAAAACCTTTACAAAGGAAATATATTTATTATAATATACATATATAATAATATCTTAGTTTTATAATTATAATAAATAATCAATAAATAATAATTATAATGAATAATCAAAAATTACAGATAAAAAAGATACATAAGTTTACATAGCATTAAATTACATAGATGTTTCAACTCCATTTTGTAAATCTTTGTTGTAAACTTACCTTTGCAATTTGACAATGACCGCTAACGGGTTCAGAATGTCCAATATTCGATTTTACTGAACCCATTAATAGAGGAAAATCTCTTTTGATGCATAAAGCTTTGTCGATTGCTTGAAGCTCCACTGGATCGCCGGCTACAGTGCCAGTTGCATGAGCTTCTAGATAAGACAGCTCACGAGGCGAAACGTTGCAATCTTTGTAAAATTCTTCCAATAATAATTTTTGTTTATCTAATGATGGAAAAGTAATTCCCTCTTCTTTAAAACCATCGCAGTTGGCTTTACCATAAACAAAAGTCGCATAGATTCTTCTTGCATCCTTTGCTTTTTGCAAGAACACTACTGTAGCCGCCTCACTACGCATGTAACCGGTACCTTCTTCATCGCAAGGTTTACAGTAGCCATCGGCGGATAAAACTCCTAAAATAATATTAATAATTTATTCGATTGAATATGAAAATTGTAATTTACTTTTCTGTTCTCGGTGTCTTAATTAATTTATAATAGATATTTGAAAAGTTTGATAAATATGTTAAATAAGCGAATCAATTATATTGATATATTTTGAAAAGAGAAACTATTAGATCAAATATATTGTATTAATTAATGCATCAATAAATAACTTTAACCATTTAACACTCTCTCGAATACAACATCTTTAATCATAATAATATTATTTTTGATATACCCAGAAGATAAAACTGTTGAGTTACTTGAGGATAAATGCACAAACTGACACTAGCGACAATAGCTGCATCGCAATATTCAGATCGAATCAAATTGTAAGCTTTTACCATAGCCAAACTGCTCGTGCTACATGCAGTATCGATGTTATACGATGGTCCAGTAACGTTGAGAAAGTAAGAAATTCTATTTGCCAACATACTTTTACTGCAACCAAGCATGGGTAATCCAGCAATCTAATTATAATACAGTTTTTATATAAAAAAAAATTTTTGTTACAATATCCTTGTATATACATAATACATTTATATAGTTTTAAGAGTGTTTTTTCTATTGATTTTAAGTAGTTAAATTATTCACATACATGAGTCTGGAATAATAAAATTATTGACATACATGAGGCTTTTCGTATATTACATTGAGAGATGTTTCAGAATTTGACATTGCTGTGACAACTCCCGTCCTTGTTCCTTGCAATTCTGCAGGATTGACACCTGCGTCAATAATTGCTGCATAAGTGTTTTCGAGCAATATTCTAATTCCAGGATCAAGCGTATGAGCTTCTTCGATTGACATATTAAAAAATTTCGCATCAAATTTTTCTATATTGTCCATTTTTCCCATTCGAGCAGGCATTTCATAAGCATCTGTCAAAATTTAAAACGATTTATATGAAAATAACATATATTTAAATCATAAATAAGAACAGCATTCTTAAGGATGGGCAAGATATTTTTAACGATAAACGACATTTTTTGATTATTTTTCATTTTAACATCAAACGCAAGAAACTTTCGAACATGTTATAATAAAATTGATTTATATAAGTATAAATTGCATGTAGAATATTAATTATCAATTTTAATGTTATATTTATAAGTAAACCGTATAGATACTGTAAATTCGTGAATATCATTAATACATGTTTTAGGAGATATAAATATTATCTTTTTAAATATAAAAGATAATATTTATATCTCCTAAAACATGTAATGCAACATCTTTTAAATAAAGAATAATGATATTCTTTCCCAGGAAAAAAGTTTATACATATAATTATATACATAATTATGTATAAAATTATGTATAAAATATACCTACATCCATATGTATACCTATATACATATATATGTTTTCTTATTCTTGTACTCTGCTGCGTATATACAGAAAAAAAATAAAAAAGAATAATTGGTGAATAATTAAAAGAATCGTTTTTTCATTCCTTCTTTTAGAAAAAAATGTGATTTGAAGAAATAAAAAGGTCCTATGTGTAGTCAACTTTTTCTTTTTATATAATTATATATAGATCTGTTAGTTTCTTATATATTTATTTTAATCTTTTAATCTTTTAAGTAAAAACGTACAATCTTAAGAAGCAGCGAAGAATATAAAAAAAAGGATATACAAAAGAACGGAAAACTACTTTTAGCGCCACATCCCGGCTTATTATCATTGGTCGAACCAATCAGAGAGTTTGCTGTCTAGTGAGATTAAATAATAAATGTTTAGCCAATAGAAGACTCGAGTCGGTCGCTATACACAACAAGATTATTTATCCTCAATACTTTTCCACAATTTTATTTATTTTTTATGTAAAAATTTTAATTATTTTCTAAATTATTCTTTATTTTTGTATATAAAAATAGAGATTTACAAGAAACATAGATCGATATATGTATTCTATATATACTTTAACTTATTTTACTTATTTATTTAATTTATTATATATTATTGTGTAAACTTTTTCCCAAGATAGAGAAAAAAAATTTGAGAAAAAATATTACAGTTGGTCCAGCGATGATCTTCCGAACCAAGATCCATTTTATTGAAAAGATTTTCCTGAAATTCTTTCATATTATCAGAATTAGGAAATCGTCCAGCGATACCAGAGATAACTATTACTTCCCCCGCATCAACGCTGACATATGGATTGAACCGTTTATTATTATTATTCATTTTTTACAAATTCTAATAAATCTGAAAAAAGATATTAGAATTTTATTTCAGAATTATATACGTATAATTAGAAAGACGGAGAATGAAATTTATAGTTGACATATAGAAATAATCTTTGAAATAATTTACTCAAAAATTAATAAAAAATATATAAAGAAAAAAGCAAGAAAAGAATTTGTACTCACATTCAAAAATTTAAAAAAAGTTTTTTATGAAAGCAGCACTCAGCGATTTTAATAAACTAGAACAATACAGGCGCGCGCTACGTGCGCGCTATTTATTTTTTACAATTAATACTACATATATATATATATATATATATACAGGGTGTCCCGAATTTAAATGTCATAACTTCGAGAGCGTGTAGGGGATCGATAAACTAAAAGAAAAAGTAGTATAGAGATATGCTCGTTTTTGCTTCGTTTTGGAGAAAATCGCAAAAAACATAAAACGTAGTTTTTATTTCTGTACTTATTTATTACTTTTTAATTCATATTTATTCATTTTTTTTTATTTATTTCTTTTTTTTTTAATAAATATGAATTAAAAAGTAATAAATAAGTACAGAAATAAAAACTACGTTTTATGTTTTTTGCGATTTTCTCCAAAACGAAGCAAACACGAGCATATCTCTATACCACTTTTTCTTTTAGTTTATCGATCCCCTACACGCTCCCGAAATTATGACATTTAAATTCGGGACATCCTGTATATGTATATATGCAGGGTGTCTGCTAAACATGCGGCAAAAATTCAGGGGGTGATTTATTGGGTTATTTTAAGACTTTTTTGTTATCTGATGATTTTCGAAAAAATGCTTTGTTTCGAAAATAAAAGCAATAAAAGTTTTTTGACCAATTTTTTATTCCATAGATAACAGGCGATACAGGTTTTTTTCAAGTATTAACGTAGTCTAAATAAACGTAGCAAGCTAGTGCAGATGTTGAAAACAATAACAAAATTTGTTTATTTGCCATTGATAGTTAAATTTTTGTTAGTGTTCATGAATCGCCATACGAACGCTGAGATGACTGACATGCATTTCATGTATGGTCTTACCGATGGAAATTCGTTACGGGCTAGGCGATTGTACATTGAACGATTTCCCAACCGTAATGTCAATAATTTTGTTAAAAAACCTGTATCGCCTGTTATCTATGGAATAAAAAATTGGTCAAAAAACTTTTATTGCTTTTATTTTCGAAACAAAGCACTTTTTCGAAAATCATCAGATAACAAAAAAGTTTTAAAATAACCCAATAAATCACCTCCTGAATTTTTGCCGCATGTTTAGCAGACACCCTGTATAATATATAAATTATATTATATAAAATATATTATAAAATATATTATTAAAATATATTATATAAAATATATTATTAAAATATATTACATAAATTATATTATATAAAATAAGTATATAAATACTATATTAAATAATGAGGAGTATAATTAAAATCATTCACATGTTCTGATATAAATATATTACAATTATTCAAATTGAAGTAATAGAGCTCTATACATTTTGATTTACTTCACATTCTTCTCAATGGTTCAAATTAAAAACAAACCAGCTGAGTTTTTGACGTTATTTTTATGTATTAATATTAAACTTATTTTTAGTTTGATGTTCTACAACTTTTTCATTAAAATAAATTTTTAACACAATATTATGTTTTGTAGATCTATGTCATATATTATAATTTTATATGACACTGTATTTATAGTTTTTTTATTTTTGTGTCTATTGTGCTTGCTTAATCATACTAATAAATTTTTCATTATTATTATTATTATATTACACAATTATACAACGTAATCAATATTTTTGTTGCATCATACCAAATCTAAAAGTATTATAATACTTTTTTCACAATTTTATTTATTAAGAAGATATAGAAAATTGAAATATTTAGATTTTCATCTTCATTTATTGTAATGTACTATATAGCATGAGATATCTATTACTTTATATACTTCAGATATCTATTACTTTATCTATTACTTTATATATTTTCTCAATGTTTATTATATACTTGATTATTATAAACTTTATTAATTTGTAAAAAATTATATAATATGTTATATGAAAAGTTATTACATATAAAAAAATTGAATGAGCAGATGCTAATTATGTATTATATTTCTTATAAGTAAAAATTTATAACTTTTATAAGTTTAAAAGTTTTATATTTTAGAGATTTGAAGATTAAAAATTTCATTTTTTTTTAAATAAAGCTCTTTAAGTGAACCTTATTTTTTTATATAAATGGATTTTATAATATTTAAACAATTATAAGGATAAAATAAGTAAAAATTGAATAGTTTAGTTTATTATCTATAGTTTGCATATTTCCTATATGTTTTATTTTAAAAATATATAATTGTAAAATTTTAATTTATAATTTTTTCCGAAATATTTACGTTATCTTGCAACTGTGTTGGCAATTTGTTCTTTGCAATGTCTTTGTAATGTTTCATTGCAATTTGCAAAATTGCAATGGAACATTACAGAGACATTGCTACAATGTAATTGTAATAATTTGTATTGTATGCAGGTTCTCTCGTTTTATCATAGATATAGAAATATTTTTAACTCACTCCAAAACGTAAATCTAGCTACATCTATGGCAGGGAATCGAACGTCTAGTCCATGGGCCGGACCTTCGACATCCCTGATCTATGGTATGTCTGTTATGCCTATATATACTACGATATGGTAGGAGATAACGATATAAATTTCGTTGTACTGATGAGAGCCTGCCATTTCCAGTTTGACTGCGATAAAATAGTAAACGATTAAGTGTTAATACGCGAAATATTAAGTACACGATTAAGTGTAAGTACACGATTAAGTGTAAGTACACGATTAAGTGTAAGTACACGATTAAATATAAGTACACGATTAAGATTGTGAATGATTAAGATTTTGCGATTAAGAAAGAAATATTCAAGAGAGAACCTGAGAGAGATACATATAAAGTTTGTTGAGGTAAGTTTACAATATTATAAATGCTTTCTAACAATATGTACAATGCTCCGATTTTATAACTTTTATTAACGACGATAGCATTATTGTTAATATTATTGTATATATATTTTGATGTTAAAATATGTGTATAATACACGATAAAGATAGTGATATTGTCGTTAAAAGTTATAAAATCGTAGTATAAGTAATACCGTATAATATAGTATATACATATATATATATATATATATATATATATATATACATATCTTAAATTAATATTAAGATTAATTATTAAAATTTTAAAAACAATAAATAATGCAAAAAATATTAAAAAATAATGAAAATTGATTAAAATAATTGTTTATTCTATTCTGTTTATAATTGTAATTCTTTTCTTCAATTTTCTTTTCTTCAATCTAAAAAATTTTTTACTTACACTGTTGAATCATACATTTGTATGCTTTCAAGTACGTCACTTGGTGTCAATAGTTCAATTGCATTTAAATTGTCAATTTCAATAAGTTTATCAATATGATTTTCAGAGTTTTGAATTATATGACTTGAGTTATGACTTTCCGAATCATCCGAATTATATTCTGACATTTTTAGATTAATTTAATATTTTAAAGATGCAAAATTAATAATTACCCTACAAAATATACAAAGATTATATACATATATAATATACATTATAAAGAGAAAAATAATATATATTTAATATTTATTAATTATTTTATATGAATCTGTTGTTTGAAATAATAATTTAAAGAAAATATTAAAATAATTATTTTTTTTAATGAATTAAAAAAAATTTATAATTTTAATGCTTTAAAATAATGTTTCAAAAATATTTTATAAAAATATTTAAAAATGTTTTTAAAAATATGTGTGTATAAATTTCCTGGGTAATTATGAACTTTACGGACGCCATCACCGATCTCAACGATTCTCACATATATTGTCAAGCTCACTCTCTTGAGTAAGTATGAAAAGTTGTAACTGTCGCTCACTATTTATTAAAAAGTTATCAGCGAAACAAGTGTAATCAGTAGAACATTATTTTGCGAGAATATGTAAGTATACAGAAGTATGTTTGGATCGAATATGTGTTGAATAGATAGTAAACATGACATTGTGTTCTACACATTGTACTTGTTTACATTTTTTTCAAATTATTCGGAATTGTACTTCTGTTTAGTGTACGACAATCTTTCAGTCAGTTAGTACATATAAGAAGCGAAAATGAAGCTTTACGAATTTCTGAATATTTGCAATGATTTTAATCAACTTCTTGATTATTTAATAGAACGTAAAGTTGTGCGTGGTTCCGCGCAGTGTCCTAAATGTAACAACATGATGGATTTCAATCGCGATATGTTAACATTTCGATGTTATAATGCTCAATATGTTCGGAATCATCATAAAAAACGAATTAGAAAGAGATGTAATATTAAATTGAGTGCTTTTCACGGTACATGGTTTTCACATAGCCATTTGAATTTACAAACAATATGTCGATTCATAGCATATTTTTTTACCATGAAACCACCACGTCAGACTTTTCTTCAATGTGAACTTGAACTTTCTGCACATAGTATTGTTGATTGGTCCAGTTTCTGTCGTGAGGTATAATTATTGAATATTTATGTTACCGTTATTATAAATTTTTAATGTTATAAATATCTTTTTAAATTTGTATTCCTTTTTTTTTTTAATAGTTATGTATTCAATGGATAGATTCGACGTCAGAAAAAATTGGAGGTGAAGGAGAAATTGTAGAAATTGATGAGGCAAAAATAGGAAAGCGAAAAAATAATAAAGGACGACTCATAGGAGGACAGTGGATATTTGGCGGTATTGAAAGACCAACAAATCGATTGTTTATTGAACCCGTACATAATCGCTCTGCTGATACATTACTTAATGTAATAAAAAAATGGATAAAACCAGGAACAACAATTATGTCCGACTGTTGGAAATCTTACAAATGCTTGAGTAATGAAGGCTACGTACATTTAACAGTCAA